ATGGAATTTAACGCCTGCGACATATAAAACTCCTCTAATTCAATTTGTAAAATCTTAATTTCTGTGACTGAAAACACTTTAGGAAGGTTTTGCGAAGACTTGTCAATCGACGATATATTCCACCATTGTTTAGTATATAAATATCATTCCAGGAGTGCTGTTGTGATCAACATATATGACAATATTGTTAAATTGTTTTCAATATGACAATATTGTTAAATTGCTTTCGATATGACAATATTGTTAAATTATTTTCGAGAAACTCCCAATCATAATAGGAAGTTACTCACTCTCCTAATGTCGTATTGAAGAGTGGCTTTACAGAAGGTTCATTTTTCTGTTCAATGAGGCTCAGGTAGGAAGAACACTCATCCTGGGAGCCACAGCTACCTGCAATGGGGTACAAGTTGATAATAAGCAAGACGTCCCTGTATATTTCATGATCTCTCGAAATTATTACATTTTTAGAGAATGAAGGGAAGCACCTTATTTTATGAACTGGTATTCAAGAGATTTCTCCATGTATATGATAAAACATATAAAAATAACAAAAAAACTGCACAATTCTCCGTGACACAATACATATGAAACATACTTAAATTTATAATCTGGTGCTGAAGCCAGAAATTTTCAGTAAAACCATAAATAATATCGTATGTAAGGGCCTTGTAATACAGAACGCATGTAGACATGTCAGCTACATTAGAATAAATACGGGGTACTCCAGATTCGTGTTTCCATATTTTTTCTTTTCTGAGATTTATGTACTATTAGATTATTTTACTGCTACTTTCTTTTTAAACAATGTTAAGGATATTGAGTGCCCTGTTATCTTTTTAACTTTATGGTTATACACTTTATTTTAGTTCCAAACACTTACCATCCGATCCGCCAAGTGAGACACAGCGAGAGTCACCTGTGGGGGAAAAAATCACGAGAATCAGTTTGTAAACAAACATAATAGGTAATATATATCCACTCATATAATAACCAAGACCAAGAGCAAGCATAGCATACCTTGACCGTCTACTGTGTAAACAAATAACAAAATTGTTCCCAGCCACAACATTGTTCTGCAATGAAGATTCAAAGAGTTATATATATTTTCAAAGATAGAGTTCCTATAGCTGGATACGTCTGGCAGTGCTGTCGGTGGACCTTTAAAGTTCTGTATGCTCGAATGGGACGCCTTTTAATATCCAGTTAACAGGATATAATGTATCACTTTACATATGGTTACAAATAATAAATTCACCATGCATAATTGCAGTGTCCTGCACCGTCATTCATATTAGATTGTAGACATTATGACATTAATAATGCGTATATAATCGAAGATACGTGCACTTGTAATGAAGATTTTTCAAATTAAATATTGCCAAAGTTGTCAAATACATTTGCTCTTTTCTCAAAGGAATTCCGGTAGAGTTCACCAGTTTAATTCTGTCTCTATAATACACTTGCCATCTAACGTCATTATTACCTCCCAAAATAATAACCGTAACACGCCTTCCTTAAGATCAAACTAAGCTCCGGAGCAACTGAACGCCCGGTGCTAGGTCCATGCACACTAGACTTACAGCCGGTGGATTGAGCCAGTGAGGGAGGACTGGAAGGGTATGTGGCATTCCTGAGGTGAGTTGCGTGCCCGGGATCCCAAGGTTAACCCACAGTCGTCAGGGATGGGATTTACGTACATGCCATGCGCACAGTGAACTTAGTTTATCTACACATGGATGGCTCTGCAGGTACCTAATCACCAAAGATTCGGGTACTTGCATATCTCACCTGTTTAACTTTTCTTGATTTTCGGAAATATTTAATTTTATCTTATATTGTTATTGTTAATGTCAGTAATTCTGGAATAATTATAATGAAAACATTAATACTACCAGCACCGATATTAATAGCACTAAATAAATACTATTTGATTCGTTGGTGACTGAGCACTTGTAGAGCCATCTACTCGTATATACGTTTCACAAAACAATACTGCAGTTAACATCACATTTTATAGTGAGTCAGTTTTATTTTTTGATGTTTTTTTTATTTCTTTCGTTTTTATTATTCTGCATTTATTCTAACGATTATGAACAAAAACACAGTCTCTAGTGAACTATGGTAAGGAAACATTAAATCGTGTTTTTTTTATTAGCACTGGAAACGTTATCGCAATTTTCCCCATTATAGTGTAGCAATGTAATTTTAACGAAGAGTGTGTATCTTATAGGTTACAATGGAACGAAAACATGTAAATTCCCAATGACATCAACAGGACTGGGGAAAAACGTACCTGATGATAATTCTTTCCTGTTGTATGATTTCATGTTCTGTGTTTCTTTTATGGTGCTGAGGTGAATATGTTTTTGTAAGTGCATTTGCTGTACCTCACCATACGTTAATCATTAATACATATTCTGTGTTGTATGTCATAAGAACGCTTTCATTCTTATAAACTTGTGATATATTTTTTTTTAATCAACGAAAATACATCAAGCTGTGCTGTTTTTGCTTCTTGATAGCGATACAAATAACTTTTGGAGTACAATGAACCTTTACCTCTATTTTAGTTACAGTATTTTAGCCTTTTTCTATGCAACAAACCTAACCTGACAGAGCTACAGTTGATTATAATCGATGTCACATGTAATGGGCATGGCATTTATCCAAAATAGCGACACTCAGCAACTCATCTCAGGACAATCTTTTCATCCTTTCCAGTTACTCTTTCGTTGATAATGAATACACAAACTCTCACTTATTCCCTTTCGTCCTCCCGGAAAAGTTAACAATTACTCCCACATATTTGCATTTTAGTAGTCCCTGCTGGAAATGAAAAGAAATTACATTTTGAGATAATGCTATACTTGTGAATCTTCATTATGATAAATTTATAGGAATTATATATGATACACACACACACAGAAACACACACACACACACACACACACACACACACACACACACACACACATATATATATATATATATATATATATATATATATATATATATATATATATATGCATATATATCACACACACACACACATACACACACACACACACACACACACACACACACACACACACACATATATATATATATATATATATATATATATATATATATATATATATATATATGCATATATATCACACACACACACACACACACACACACACACACACACATATACATACATATATATATATATATATATATATATATATATATATATATATATATATACACATATATATACATTATATATATATATATATATATATATATATATATATATATATATATGTATATATATATATGTATATATATATATAATGTATATATATACATGTATATATAATGTATATATATTCAATTCCCCGTCGCGGAGGTCGTATAAATGCCTGTGCTCTGACTGCTACATCGAGCCCGAGAAAACGACATATCGCCTTGAGAAGTCAAACGCAGGTGTCGTAGGAGAAGTCACCGCTGTGGCACAAGTATTAGCGCGCCGAACCGCGGTTGATTCGGAAGGGCATCCAATCATGCAAGGGTGACACTACCAAATAACCTCTCAATACTGAATTGAGAGAGGCCTATGTCCTGCAGTGGAATGAATGGCCATTGAAAAAAAAAAAAAAAAAAATATATATATACATATATGTACATACCTATATATATATACACATATACATACATACATATATACATATATATATATATATATATATATATATATATATATATATATATATATGTATATATATACATATATATATTTTTCTTTCTTTTTTATAACATATAAATACACACGCACACATGTACATAAATATACACATATAAAAGCACATAATACACATACGCGCACAAGTACACATATATACACATACGCAAACACACACATCAACACACACATATAAATATACACATACAACCACTGTCGTCAAGTGGTCCTCAGTACAATCTTATTACAGTGGTACACGCGAACACAAACACACACATACACACACACGGATACGCACGTATACGCACACGCATATGCACGCGCACACGCACATGCACACGCACATGCACGCGCACTTGCACATGCACGTGCACGCACACATTCTCTCTCTCTCTCATTCACTTACGTCAATTATAAATAGACTTTTAGGAGTTTTACTTTAATTTTTGAACAAGTATGCCACACTCGAAACGTTAAAATTTCCAATCTCTATCATCATAAAGAAATCTCTAATTTCATAAAGAAATCTCTATTATCCTTATCATAAGAAAGAAAGAAAGAAAAAAAACGGTACTCAGGATCCTCGGACCATGCTCTGCCTCAGGCGTCTCTACCAGCCGGTCGCGCTCGCTACTTTGTTAGAAAGACCTGAACTACACTGCGTCGCGGAAGTGCTGTTGTCAAGTGGTCCTCAGTACAACGTCTTATTAAAGTGGTAAGCGTTCAGTTCTCGTTGCATTAATGTATACCTGCTGGAAGTTGTATATGCGACATCAAATAGAGTGGTTGCAAAAATCCTTTGGCGAAAAAATAGGTGTATATATAGGAGTATAATGACAGTGCTAATATTTCAAGCTGTACTTGTGTGCGGTGGTTCAACTTCACATCTACCAAGCAGTTATGTTGAAGGTATTTAATTTGATATATTTACTTATGTCATATTTAGAAGGTGAATTGTTACACTCTATCGGGGTAATTTAGAAAACCTTGCAAATGCAAAAAAAATGTTGAGAAAATCATGTTTATGTTAATTAATGTGCAAAAGTTCCTTACAAAATGTTTAAATAAAACTAACTTGTTTCAACTATGAAGAACATGAAGTGTCTTCATATTTTTTTATTATTATTATTTTTTTTACGTTTAAGTAGCGACAAGCGGAAGACCGTGCAAAAGTACTAACCTTGTGCGAAAACGCTCTTATTTGCTAATTAACGCATTCACCTAAAACGATATCGTCATTTAATTGTTAACAGAAACTTTAATTGGCTCA